CGGGGGCTCGGACCCCGGCTGCAGCCGGCACCGGAAACGCGCTGCGGTCGGTGAGACCCACAGGAAGTGTGTAACGACACCCGAGGAGCGCACCGAGCCGGTCCCCGTCGCCGGGTCGTGCGTGGAGCCCTTTCGGGGCTGCTGCCCCGCAAGCTCACACTGCAGCCTCAGTGCGGGGAGCAGGCGGAACCTAAGGCGTTCCCGAGGTGTGCGACACCTGTTCCCAAGCTCTTCGTAGACTCTGCAGCCAGGGACGTGGCGGGAGGCCCGCGACCGTTCAGTCCACAGCAGCTGTTGAGCCTTGGAGGTATCCCAACGCCCCTCCGCATCACACACCTGCCACCCGCATAGTACATCCAGCCACAGCCATTGCTGCCGTGTGGAAGTGGCCTGACATCCCACCGCATCACGCACACCTGTAAATTGAAGTTCCCAGGGGGAAAAAAGAAAAACAAAAAACGCACCAGTGTTAAAGATTCTACAAGGCTAAATGCTTGAACTTCGTGATTATGGAGTTAAAATGGTGTAGAGGCAAATTAACTTGCGCTATTTTTAGTTCCTTTGAAAGCCATTCATTGGCCACCCCTGTCAGACTTAGCATCCGTGTGCCTAATAAAAATCTTTAAAATGCTAAGAATGTCATCAGATAAGCACCTAAATAAAACCTGTTAAGTTTGGCCCACTTTGCTGCAATCCACTTACCTGTGGTCCCCTACCAGTGTATTTAGTAAATGCTTTATGACTTTGTCTGCAACTAATAAAATCTCATCTAACCATTTCCACAGTGGGACATTTCTTTCAGGGCAATCTGGATCCGTGTTCCCAGGGCATGAGCACTCAGATTTGGCTCAGGAATAGACGGATTATCCCTTAGTCCTTATTTTAAGGTAAGAGCTCAGTTTTTGCAACTTCACACCCACCCCACCAAGGGAGTGGGGCTGTTTAAACACTTAAAACTCTCTCAGACTAGTGTTCTCTGACACCAGGGTGAAGACTACCCTACACAGCATGGCATTATAGAGGCAAGGCTGCACCTTTAACAAACACTTCCATAGCACAAACCAGTTGCCCAGGTTTGTGCCAAGTGCTTAGTTATTCATTTTGTCCTAGGAACTCTTTGAAGTAGATGCTATTAGTCTTCTTTTAGTTTTATTTTTATTGTGTTTTAGTTATGTTTATGTGTGTGTGAGTAGGTATGTTCGTGTGAGTGCCCCTGGAGTTGGAATTATAGGCAATTGTGAACTGCCCCACATGGGTGCTGGGAACCAAACTTGGGTCCTCTGCAAGAACAGTATGCACTCTTAACCACTGAGCCATCTTATGGAACCAACATTTTCATCTTATGGAACATTTTTAGATACAGACCCAGAAGTGAGATTTCAGTTCATACAATGATTCTATTTTTAGTTTTTGGAAATTGAGGCCAGAAGTAAGAGATCTGCTTAATAAGGTTACAGAGATACTTGGTGAAGGAATGCAGATTCATCCAAAACAGTCTACCTCCAGAGTCCATGCTTTTTAAAAAAAAAAAAAAAAAATTATTTTTATTTTTTTATGTGTTTGTTTTGCCTGCATGTGTGCAAGTGCACCCATGTTGTGCAAGCCCACAGAGGTCAGAAGAGGGCGTCGATCCCCTGGCACTGGAGTTACAGATGGTTGTTAGCTGCCATGTGCTGGGAATCAAACCTGGGTCCTCTGGAAGAGCATCTTAACATCTCTCCAACCGCGAGAGTCCATGCTCTTTTTTTTTTATTTTGAGACAGGGTTTCCCTGTAGCTCCAGCTGTAGACCGGCTGGCCTTGAACTCACAGAGCTCCACCCGCCTCTACCAAGGGCTGGGATTAAAGGCATATGCCACCATGCCCAGCTTGAGAGTCTATGCTCTTAACTCCTCTTCTCACAGCACTGAGCAGCTCCAGAGCATTAATAATGGTAACAATCATATTGAGAGCATATTTGATTAGCCTTATATACTACCCACATCTGACCTCACCTTGTCTGTAGCACGAAACTTCAGTCCTTATAACCTTTGAGGTACATGTGAAAAGAAAATTTGCCAAAGCTGTAAACAAAAGATCAGAGTCATCTCAAACCTGGGCAGCAAACTTCCATTGCCACCTAAGTCAGTTTTCTCCTGTGTGGCAGCCTCCACCAGTACCTCACAATCTTAAGCTGATTCAGGTTTTTGGGTTTTTTTTTAGTATTTTATTATTTTTTTAATGTGTATGCATGTATTGCCTGCCTGTATGTAAGTGCACTCCTGTCGTGCAATGCCTGCGGCGGACAGACAAGACTGTCAGATCCCCTGGAACTGGAGTTACGGACAGTTTGTTAGCTGCCATGTGGGTGCTGGGATTCAAACCCGGTTCTTCTGCAAGAACAGTGTTCTTAACTGCTGAGCCATCTCTCCAGCCCTGTTGTTTGTTTGTTTTGTTTTGTTTTTTGAGACCTTCTCCCTACAGCCCCATCTGGCCTGGAATTTTCTATGTAGACCAGGCTGGCCTTGATCTCGTAGAGATCTGCCTGCCTCTGCCTTCCAAGTGCTGGAATTAAAGATGTGCACTACCATGCCCAGCTCAGGTTGCTATTTTTAACACCTTCCACTATCAACACTCTTTCGATCTAAATTTTAAAATTTGTGTAAACATTTTTGACACAGCAATGTCTGTATGAAGCAAAACTTTTCACATAGTTGCTACATATTCCAAAGATGTGCTCCTGTGGAGAAATTGGAAGCCTTGTACGTTACTGATGGGAATATAAGAAGGTGCAACTACCATGCAAAACAGAATAGCAGGTCCTCAAACAACTAAAGGTTAACTTGTATGACTAAGTAATTTCACTTCTGGATATATATCCCAAAGACAAGGTCTTAAAGAGGTGTGTCACACAACATCCCGAGATGTGGTTGCAGCCTAGATAGATATCCATTGACCAATGGGTAAAGAAAATATGAATAGTATTCAGCTTTAGAAATCATGGCACATGCTACAACATGAATGTACCTCAAGTGAAATAGGTCTGTAACAAAAGGACAGATACTGAATGATTCCATGTATGCAATAACTAGCATCATCAAAATCATGGGGGAAAAGGTGAAATGGGCGTTGAGAAGATCTACTAACCAGTGTATCCAATTTTTGGACATTACAACAATGGATCATCTACAAAGTTCATACTCAAGAACTACACAATTAAGTACAAATAAATAAATAAATCTCATAATGAGCCCTAGTGGGTAAAGACACTCACCAGCAAGCCTGACAACCCTGATAGTCCCTGGAACGAACATAGTGAAAGGAGAGAACCAATTCCTACAAGTTGTCCTCTGATCTCCATGTGTGCACTGTGGCACACACACACACACCCCAATACAAAATAAAAGAATGAAAAATAAAAAATCAGCAGACCTGAGTTCCCAGCACCCATGTTGGGTGGTTCACAACTACCTCTAACTCCAGCTCCAAGTTATCCAATTCCCCATTCCAGGCTCCACAGGCACCTGCAAACGTGCTGCGTATACTCACATACACATTCACATTCTTTAAAAACCTTTAAATCTCAATGTTTTAAGTAAGTGCCCAGCTTTTTGGGCTGTATTCATAGCTATGTAGGGCTGTGTGTGGCCCACAGGCCACAGTCTGAACACCTCTGCCAGCAGTGGCATTAAGAGTCAAACTGATCTCCAGTATAGAATAGATGCAGGAGGCTAAATTTTATATTATTCTACTCTTGCCACAATTATATATGTGTGTGTATGTATGTGTATATATAGATATATAATTCCAGCTCTTATATTTCTATCATGATGAACCTTTTTTTTTTTTTTTTTTTTGTCTTTTTGAAACAGGGTCTCCTTGTAGCCCCAGCTGACTTGGAACTCCTATGTAGACCAGGCTGGCTTTAAACTCACAAAGATCCACCTGCCTCTGCCTCCCAAGTGCTGGGATTAAAGGCGTGCGCCACCACGCCCAGCCATGATGAACCTTTTAAGTGGTGCATACACAAGCCCAGCTAAAATGAGGTACCTTAATGTGTTTTTCTAATAAAAACACCCTGTATGTCAGTTCCCCCAAAGCATTTGTGGACTCCTAACCTATAAAACAAGGGACAAGAAACCAAGCACTGAAGCAGAAACAGCTGCTAAAATAAAAGTTTTTAAATCTGAAATAGAAATCTTTGACTTTCTCATGGTGCTGGAATTATTACTAATTGGAAGGAGGGTGGTCCTGGTTAAATACCGAAGTCTCAACTGAAACATTTCAAGAACACCACTGAGCACAAAAGCAAATCAAAAATAGACCTGCCAATGCCTACTACTCAGCCTTCAACTATGTCAGTCCCTGGTTGAATGAAGATGAATTTCCAATAGTCTGCCTGCCCCCCCCCCAAAAAAAACCTTTGGTAGAGGAGTTTTATAACTTGTCCTACATCTGACATTCCATCAAAAATTACCAACTATTGGGGCTGGAGAGATGGCTCAGAGATTAAGAGCACTGACTGCTCTTGCAGAGGACCTGGGTTCGATTCCCAGTACCCATATGGCAGCTACGAACTGTCCCTTAACTCCAGTTCCAGGGGAATCCGAAGCCCTCTTCTTACCTCTGTGGCATTGCATGACACGGGGGCACTCACATACATGCAGGCAATACACTCATACACATAAAATAAAAATATATATATTTTTAATTACCAACGGTGGAGAGCAATAGTGGAAGATGCCTGATACTGACATATGGCCTCCACGTGTGCACACACCTGAGAGCACACACACACACACACGCACACACGAGGCCAGGCCAGCTGAGGCTACAGGGAGTCCCTGTCTCAAAAAGACCAAAAAAAAAAAAAAAAAAAAAAAAATTCCAAAAAAAAAAAAAAAAAAAAAAAAACTAAAAAAAAAAAAAAAAAAAAAAAAAAAACCAGAATGAAAAAAGTACAGTACCAACAGGCACACATGGTCCAGATAGCCTAGTATTAGATATACTCTTTAGAATAGCTATAATTAATACGTCCGGGAACATAAGTAACAATACAGTCATCAGGGAAATGTAAATCAAAACTACAAGATAGTATATATCCACTAAGATGACTACAATATAATTAAAGGTGTGATGATAATGTGGAATATCAGAATTCTAATTCGCTGCTATTGGGATTGCAAGTATAGTGTGCACTTTGTAAAACACTGGCACTTCTGCAAACGGTTAAATGAAATTACCATACAACCCAGCACAACTTCTAGGTATATAACCAAGAAAAATAAAAATGTCAGTCCAAGTATTTTACATGCATAGTCACAGGCAACATTACTCATAATAGTCAAAAAATGGAAGAACCCAAATGTCGAATTTTTGAAGGTAACTGTGGTATAACCATTCAAAAAAATATGTATTAGTTGACAATAAAAAAAAAAAAACAGTAGTTAACAATAGAAATGTAGTACTTGTAATTCTGTTACGGGCTTTGTTTTGTTTTGTTTTTTTTCCTTGCTTTATTAAGAGGTAGGGCCTTGTCATTGCCCAGGCTGACCCCAAACTCCTGGGCTCAAGTTATCCTCATATTACCACTGCACCAGACTATTGTTAACAATTTCCTTCTCATTTGGAGTTAAGATCTTTTTTTTGAGACAGGGTCTCCCTGTAGCCCAGCTGTCCTGGAACTCACTATGTAGACCAGGCTGGCCTTGAACTCACAGAGATCTACCTGCCTCTGCCTCCCGGGTGCTGGGATTAAAGGCGTGCGCCACCACGCCTGGCTGGAGTTAAGATCTTTTCATAAAGAGTTTCTAGAAAGCCCTGATGGGGAAAGTTAGATTCAGGTGTGTCAATCAGATTAGATACGGTGTACAACCAAATATAATAAAACACAAATTTATTATTCTCAGATCTCAAGAAGGTTAGAAGTGCTAACAAGAAGTGTGAGACTAGGAAGAGGTAGAAAGGAAGGAAATCTTTGGTATTGTGTGTTTATTAAGGTACATGGGGATATGTTAGACTTTCATGAGGGGTTATGAGTTGGATGGCTTAAAGAAAACACTAGCAAAAGTGAATTATTTTTCCCAAAACACTATTAAAAATGGTGTCAATGATCAGGTTTTTATCATGGTCAGTAGCTACTGAATATGTTGGGTTTTAGCCACTGAGGTGAAAAATAAGTCATAAGAAATAAGTGGACTGTATCACAAACCACCACCATGGTAGACAAGTTTTGAGTGGGTCAAAAGGGACAGTACAGCAGGGTTCCAAATAACTTATATGTTAGGTTCCAAAATGGATGTCAAAGCAGCAACTCAAACCAGTTAATAACATTGATACAATACTATGGCATGGATAAACTTTGAAAACATTAAGCTAAAAGAAGCCAGTCACAAAAGACCATATGTGATTCTATTTAGATATGTCCAGAACAGACAAATCAATAGCAAGAGAAAGGGGATTTGTTGTGGCCTACAACTGAAAGCTTTTTCTGATGTATACCATCTGCTGAAGTGTACAGTGTCCTTTTGGAATGATAAAATGTTCTCACTGGGACCTGAAAGATGGCACAGTACGTAAAGGTACTTACCTCCAAGCCTGACAACCTGAGTTCAATCCCCAGGACCCACATGGTAGGAGAGAACCCAATTCCCACAAGTGGTCCTCTGACCTCCACACACACACACTGGCATATGTGCCCCACCTCCATACATACACAAAGAAAGGAAAGGAAATGGATAGAGATGGCTTAGCAGTTAAGAGCACTTAACTGCTGTTACAGAAGACCCAGGTTTTGTTCCCGGCACCCACACTGCATAGCTCACAACTACCTGTAACTTCAACTCCAGGAGGACCCTGCACCTCTGGCCTCCATGAACCCCTATACTCATGCACATACCCACACAGAGAAACATAGATACAGATGATTAAAAATAATTTTAAAACTTTAAAAAAAAGGTAATGCCAGGCATGGTGGCGCACACATTTAATCCCAGCACTCAGGAGGCAGAGGCAGGCGGATCTCTGTGAGTTCAAGGCCAACGTGGTCTACATAGTGAGTTCCAGGACAGCTGGGACTACAGGAAGACCCTGTCTCAAAAAGACCAAAAAAAAAAAGTAATATTTTAATGTTCTAATTGCTTTTAATAATGGCTCCTCAACTCTGGAAAAAATGTGTTTTATACATTTAATGAGTGAATTATTTGGTGATTTATATATTAAACTGATTTTGTATGTTTTTGAGACAAGACTTACTGTGTTACTCACACTGGGTTATCCATTCTTACCATTAGTATTCATTGTTCTATCTAGTAGTGTAATACAACAAAAAGAAGAAAAGAAATAAAAGGCACACAGAATTGGAAAAAGGAGATAAAATCATCTTTATTTGCAGAAAACATGATCTAAAGAATTTATAAAAAAGAAGCGTAGATTTAACAACTACAGGGCATAAGGTTTAATTATATTTCTGTATATTAGCAAAGATCACTTGAATACTTAAATGTAGCCAGAGATGGTGACTCAAGTTTGTAATCCTAGCACTGGGAACTTTTCCTAAATTTAAGGCCAAACTGGGCTACCATGTCTGAAAAAAAAAAGAAAAAGAAGCTGAAATTTAAAAACATATCCAAAATAGCCTGGTGTTGTAGCACACACCTTTAATCCCAGCACTCAGAAGATAGAATCAGGCAGATCTCTGAGTTCCAGGCCAGCCTGGCCTACATAGCAAGTTCCAGGTCAGCCAGGGCTAGTGAAACCCCATCTTAAAAAAAGCATCTAGCCAGGCATGGTGGCACACGCCTTTAATCCCAGCACTCAGGAGGCAGAGGCAGGCGGATCTCTGTAAATTCAAGGCCAGTCTGGTCTACATAGTGCGTTCCAGGACAGCTGGGGCTGCATAGAGACCCTGTCTCAGAAAGACCAAAAAAAAAAAAATCTAAGTTAATGTTTACAGTAAGTTAAACAAATTTTACCTGTAAGTATTATGTACTGAAAACTATAAAACACTTCTTGGCAAAACAAAATTCCTATTTTTAAAAGGGGGGGGGCAGGAGAGATAAGAGCGATTACAATCCCTCACCCAACTGTCTTTAGTGAACATAAACTAGCTCCATTTTACATGAAAAGTCCTGTAAAGAGCTGACTTTACTGCTTGATCCTGATTGGTTCATGATATGTATTTTTTCCGCAAGAAGTCAGAGAATAAGACCCTGGCTTGGAGGACAAAACCCTCAGAATATTAAAAAACACAATATATTAGATGCCACTTAAATTGAACGTGATTGGTTGTTTTAATTACCATTTCAGGCCTTACAGATACAGAAATTCTACTCTTTCCAGAACAAGTATGTGTCCTGATAAGGCAGCAGAGATGATGACAAACTTTAGATTCTGACTGCTGAGCTCTTTACTTTTGGTGCATAGTAATTGCCATTTTTGTTTCTTTTCCTTCACAGTTTGGAATTCATCTGATTCATTAGCTTCTCCAATTTGATTGCTAGGGCCATGTTTCCTTTAATCTTCAATTTTCCTGACATAAATGCCATGGTTGGCTTTAGTTTCCCTAGAATGAGAATGAGACGGGGAAAAGCAACATTAGTGCCTAAAGGGACATACTGCTTCAAGAACATACATTATAGAAAGAATTTCCTTCAGTTATAGAAATCTCAGAAGCGTAGAAATTTCTATTACAGTATTGTATATTAGTATCTAGGGAATCCCAGTTCCTGACTTAGATGTTAACAATACCCTACAAGAGGTAATGTAAGAAACAATCAGCAGACGATAATGGCAAAAAGCTAAAGATGCACACGATTTATATATATACTAGTTACAGCACCCTAAAAGAAACATGGCCCTCAAATGAATTCTGGTAAGCAAATACTATTTTAATTTTTAAGTCTGTTATAGCCCATGAAACTTTTAACCATTTCTATTTTAAATAGGAAATCAAATGGAATACAAAATGTATAAAATATTTACAAACGATTACTAAGATGGGCAAGGTGGTACACATCTGTAACCCCAGCACTTGAGAAGCTGAGACAGGAAGATCCCAAGTTCAAAGTCAGCCTGGGCCAAACAGTGATACTGTGTCAAAACAAAATAAACAACCACAAAGACCATGAAAAGTATAGTATTGAGGCTAGAGAGATGGCTCAGTGGTTAACAGCACTGGCTACTCTTGCAGAGGGTCTGGGTTTGATTCCCAGCACCCACATGGCAACTACCAACTATCCATAACTCCAGTTCCAGGGGATCCAACACCATGCTCTTCTGGCCTCTATGGGCATTGCATGACACAGGCACACTTACATATAAGCAGGCAAAACACTCATAGACATAAATTTTTTTAAAAAAAATTTAAGTATACAGGGGCTGGAGAGATGGCTCAGCGGTTAAGAGCACTAGCTGCTCTTGCAGAGGACCCGGGTTCAATTCCCAGCACACACATGGCAGCCACCATTCACACCACCAGTTCCAGGGGATCTGACGCCCTCTTCTGACTTCCAGGGGCACTGAACAACATGGGTGCGCTTATATACATGCAGGCAATACACTCAAGACACAAAGTAAAAACAATATTTTTAAAAATAAATAAAAAGTAAATTGTATAAAGCCAGATATGGTGGCACATACCTTTAATTCTAATACTCTGGAGGCAGTGGCAGGCCAGATCTCTGTAAGATCGAGGCCAGCCTGGCCTTCACAGTGATTTCCAGGACAACTGGGGCTATGAGGAGACCCTGTCTAGGGCAGGCAGAAGGTGTTGACTGGAAAGATGGCTCAACAGGTAAGAGCACTTAAGAGCACTGGCTGATCTTGCAGAGGACCTGAGTTCAGTTCCCAGCACCCACATGGCAGCTAACAACCATTCATAACTCTAGTTCCAGGGGATCCAATGTCCTCTTCTGGCTTCCACAGGCATTGTACAACACAGGTGCTGTTATATACATGCAGGCAAAGGAGTAAAGGAACTTTGCTTTTTTCCCCCTCACTATTTCAGTTCAGTTTGGGACATAGATAAGATTAATAAGAAAACTGAGGCTCAAAGAGGATTTTAACTTGCCCAAGGTCACACAGTTTTTTAAAAATATTTTCATTTTATATATATGAGTGTTTTGCCTGAGTGTATTTAAGTGCAGCACATGTGTGTAATATCTTGGAGGCCAGAAGAGGGCCTCAGTTCCCCCCTCCCCTCTGCCACCGGAACTGGAATTATGGATGGTTGTTAGCCACCACGCAGGTGCTGATAATCAAACCCCAATCCTACAGAAGAGCAATAAATGCTTTTAAACACTGAGCCATCTCTCCAGCCCTGGTAATACAGTTTATACATAGCAGTGCTTCAGTTCTTAGCAGGTATACACAACTGTCACTTATGACTTTATTATATTCAATCAGTTCAGACATTAGTCATATTTCCTAGATAGCACAATATCTGCCTGGTGCATTAGGGGCTCATCCCACCTCTCACCTCTATGACATATGCAGGTTCAAAAACAAAAATGAGAAGTGGGGCCAAAACAAAAAAAAACATGGATAAAAGCAATCTGAAGGAAATAGGAAATGCAAGTGCTCAGAGACTGAAAAAAAAACAGTTATCAAGAACAGTGTGAGAGAGGTGAGAAGAGGCTGAGCAAGGAGAGGCAGCAGAACAGGACTGGTGATGACAGAAGAAAGTGAGGGGGCAGGGGAGGGTGAGGCAGAGGAAAAGAGCAGAAGGCGGCAAACCAGAGTAAGCTTTTGGAAACCAAAATGATTCACAGTATTGAAATGCAATAGAAAGCTAAGAAGGTGAGTCAATCCAGAAGTAAAACAAGTTCTACAAGGATAAGTGCAATAGAGAGGGTGGTGATTAAATCAAGACTTTATCTTCAGAAAATGAGACCAGAGAAAATAGAACTTTTTTAGGGCCTACCAAGTATCTAGGAAAGTATCCTAGGAAAAACACATACATAATCTATACTATAATGTGTGAAATCAGCTTTTTTTTTTTTTTGTCTTTTTGAGACAGGGTCTCCCTGTAGCCCCAGCTGTCCTGGAACTCACTATGTAGACCAGGCTGGCCTTGAACTCACAGAGATCCACCTGCCTCTACCTCCCAAGTGCTGGGATTAAAGGCATGCACCACCATGCCATCTACATTTTAAAACCTATGAAAGTAGGGGCTGGAGAGATGGCTCAGCGGTTAAGTGCACTGGCTGCTCTTTCAGAGGACCAGGGTTCAATTCCCAGCACCCACATGGCAGCTAACAATCATCCGTAACTCCAGTTCCAGGGGAATCTAATGCCCTCTTCTGACCTCTGTGGGCATTGCCCAATATGGGTGCACTTACATGTATGTAGGTAATACACTCAACTCATACACATAAAATAAAAATAATCAAATATTTTTAAAAGTTATGAAAGTTGGACTGGAGAGATGGCTCAGCGGTTAAGAGCACTGACTGCCCTTGCAGAGGATCTGAGTTCGATTCCCAGCACCTACATGGCAGTTACGAACCGTCCTTAACTCCAGTTCCAGGGGAATCCGAAGTGCTCTTCTTACCTCCACGGCATTGCACGACACGGGTGCTCACACACAAATACACTCATCCACATAAAAAATATAAATAATAAAATATATGTATTTTTAAAAGTTATAAAAGTAGCCTTTAGTCCTAGCTCTTGGGAGAGGCAGGTGGATGGAGCTCTGTGAGTTCCAGGCCAGCCAGGGCTACATAGTAAGACACTATTACAAAGAAAAAAACAAAACAAAAAACTAGAAGGGAGTTATCTGGGAAGAGAGATGAGTGAGTGAGGGGGAGCCAAGAAAGGGTAATGGAGTGGAATATGACCAAAGTACCCGGTATATGTGAATGAATGTTATAAGGAAACCCATTAGATGGAGCAATGGCTTTGAAATTCTGAGCGAAAATGAATTTTAACTCAGAAGTCAGCCAAATAAGCAAAAGTGCTGATAGAATAAGAATAGTTGAGACAACAAAAAAGACTAATGTATCCATCCTCCTGCAATGGCTGGAGAATGTGTACCCATCACAAGGAGAATGAAACCCCGAGAATGAGGAAACCCAGGAAATACAGTCAATGTTGAAAAGAATTCCAGAAATTCCTAGGATACTATCTGTGCAGAGGCTTGAGGCACTCACAGTTTAGACCATAACATGAAAACAAAGGGCTCTAGGAAAAAATGGACTACAAGTTTTCACAACAGAGGAAACTGCATGGAGAAGTTATTGGGAAAATTTAGGAAGACTTCGCCAAGTGCTGTGGGCAGAATGTTTGTACCCCCAACTTCATCTATTGAAGCCCTAACCCCTACTGTGATGCTATTAGAGAGTGGGACGTTTGGAAAGTAAGCTTGGATGAACACATGACGGTAGCAACTTCACAATGAGACAGTGCTCTTACAGAATGAGTAAAGATCCAGTGGCATTTATCTATAATGCTGCATAAAATGATCCTGTCTAGTTTCAAAATATTTTTCACCCAAAAGGAAAACATGAATTCAGCATTAGCAACTCCTCCTCCCTTCAGACCCTGAGAAACACTAATCATCTTTCTATCTCTGTGGATTTACTACCTATTTTAGATATTTTATATAAAGGATTTATACAATACATGATCTTTCGAGTTTGGCTTCTTTTACTCAGCATGTCTTCAGTGTTCATCTATGTGTGTTATGTGTGTTAACTCACACATCTGTAAGTTTAACAAAACTGATCTTCGATAATGGTAGCATGATTATCCCAATGAGGGAATAAAACAGTCTATTCAACAAATGATATTCGGGTAACTATTCACATGCAAAAGAATGAAGCTGGACCCTGCCTCATAGGATATACAAAACTTAACTCCGAATGAATAATCAGCAGGCAAGATGGCTCAACAGATAAAGGCTCTGGCCCTGCAAGCCTAGTGACTTGAGTTCAATACCCAGACCCTACATAAAGTGGAAGGAGAGAAAAGAATCCACGAAGGTGTCCTCTGCCCTCACAAGAGTGCTATAGGCATGCATACACACAAAAATTAAAAACTCAAAATAAATTACAACTCTAAATGGGAGAGTTAAAGTTTTAAAGTCCTAGAAGAAAATACAGGAGTGTTGTGGATTGAAATGAGAAATGTGTTTGAATATATGGTCCCCAGTTGGTGGCACTGTTTGGGGTAAGTTATGGAACTTGCTGGAGGCTTTGGGGGTTTACAGCCTCATTCCACTTCCAATTCACTCTGCTTCCTGTGTGCTGTTGAAATGAGATATCTCATCTTTGGGCCATGTGCATGCTGTCTTCCCTGCCATTATGAGCTCTTCCTCTGGAACTGTAAGCCAAAATAAACTCTTCCTTCTATAAATGGTCTTGGTCATCGTGTTTTATCACAGCAACAGAAAAGTAATATGCTTCCCTATCCTTTCTGCTGTGCCAGTGATTCATGAATGGTTTGGGCTAAATCGTTGCCTCTGCCTCCCAAGTGCTGGGATTAAAGGCGTGCACCACCACATCCAGGCCCAGTCATGGTATTTTATAATGTAGAACCCTGAGACCCTCTTCATTCACCCGC